CAGGTCATCAGAGAAGAGAGTGAGTGCATTTGCCATAAGCAATGATAGTCTATTTGTTTGTTTTGCTGACAAATTTGGAGTTGTTTGGTTTGTGGATTTGGATGGATTTCATGAAAATCAAGCTTTAGCCGGTAACAAGGCAGAGCCAATTCTTGCTCACTACTGTAGCATCATTACTAGCTTGGTATGTCATTTGTTATCTTTGATATCTTTTCTCTTTGTCCTTGCTCTATTGTATTTATGGCCTTTTGTGATGACCTCTAGTATAACAACTCATCTTTTTCCATGTCAGTTATAATGCTAAAACCATATCATAATTATAATGCTTAAAAAACAAAACTCTTTTTTTTTTTTTGATTGGCAAAAACAAAACTTAATTAGTTTCTCATTATACGTGCAAGACTTGGTTATGTAGATTTGTCCTCAAGAGTTGTGGATCAGATGTTTCAGTTTATTGTCCTAGACATTTCTGCTAAGTTTTAGTTTTTAGTTTTTATTTTTGGTGAATCATTGGTTATTCCCTCCATTTTCCCATGAATAACAGGAATAAATTGGACATAATAGATTTTATCACTATCTTTTTTCTACAATTTTTCTTGCCAATGTTTTTGAGGTTTATATATATATATATGTATTCTTTCTCTACTCCTATACACATTGTTAAATTCTTTTGAGTTATTACATAAAAGTCTTTGAAATTAGGGCTACATTTGTGTGGATGCATGAATGACTTTTACTTGTAAGCTGGGCTTTTTCTAAACAATTTTATGTTCTTGCAGGAATTCTCGCTGGATGGACGATTCATTATTAGTGCTGATCGGGATTTTAAAATTCGTGTAATTGACGATTCTTACCCATTGAAACAAATAAATTATTAAATATTAAATTCCATTTCAATTTGTTTTCAACAATGTTATTTGTGATAGGTTACCCTGTTTCCAAAGAAGCCTTTAGATGGGGCTCATGAGATACAGAGCTTTTGCCTTGGTCAATCTGAGTGAGTGAGTTTTTTATGTTCGAATATGTTGCAGAGCAGATGTGATTTCCATTTTGGACTTTCTAAATAGTTTTCTGAATAGTTTTTCTCTGCAATAGTGTATTAAAGCACTTTTCATTTATCAACAAGAAAAGCAAACAAGTGTTGCAATTCTTTGTAATAATAGTCTCTCTTATTCTGTGTGCATTGCAGGTTTGCACAAGCTCTCTCTATTGAACATGGAAGGTTGCCCTGTTAGTGTAGCATGCTTGGACTCTCTTGCAGGTTCACTTTTGCCTTTTCTTCTCCTTTGAGTCATCGCCATTTTTGTTATGTTACTGGATATTGTGATAAATATTGCATTTTGAGAGAAGGGTATGTGGGCTGGTCAGTGTTTTCCCTTTCATTTTTTGGTTGGTGACTTGCCAACAGTAGGCTTATAGTTTATGTTGATGGGCTTGTGAAAATAATTTGCTGTCGTTAAAATCCTTGGGATTTGATAGCCTAATTTCTATAACACAACAAAATTTTTGTAGGTCCTCTTTAAGGAGAGGAATCTGGCATATGAACTTTTGTTTGTTAATGCACAAAATTGGGATTCCAATTAAGAAAGGGAATATAGAGCTCAATTACAGTTGCCAACAATAGGCTTAAAGTTTATATTGATGGGCTTTAGTCTTTTTTGGAAAAATAATAAATAAAGAAATGTAATAAATCCCTTAAACAGAACCTTCTGTTAAAACCCAAATTGTTTTTAAAGCTTCTTTTCAATTCTGGACAAAAATAAAAAATTTAGCCATAGTTTTTGTTTAAATGCTATTGAAGGAGTAAAGTTGTAACTTAAATCATAGATTTGTGTCCGGAGCAAAACTCTAACCACCTCTACCAAAAAAATTAAACAATTAAAAATAAATAAATGCAATCAAGTGATTAAGAAAATTAAGTTTACAAATTCTTCAATTTATGTTTATTTTGGTGAATCTGATTGTAATTTATGTTCTGATGCAGGTATATAGACCAATGAAGACTAACAGTGAACTCTCTCATCAATTTGAATCAATTTGAATTTAACTCATCCAAACTTGAAATTTATGTTACAATCAGGAATAGATTTTTGAAATGCAATCTAGTAAAGTTCAATAGTCTCTTACTTTGGTGATATCTTGAGTTGGGGATAATTTTCTTGGTAGTAATTTGCCATCTCTTGTATAGTTGGATCAATCATTATAGCTCAACACCTCTTTCTCTGTTAATATCTTTGTTAAAACATGATTTGTGAATATGTTGTTTTGTGGTTAATGGTGATTGGATATTAAATTGAATGGGAAAGTGAACTAATGTTGTATTTGATATTTGAATGAGAGTTATTATTTCATGTTAGTGTTATTTTTTAGTTTTTTTAGTTCAATCACATAAAATTAGCACAAATTTTTTTTTTAAAAAAAAGGGGCTATCACGGCGTTTCTAAAAACGTCGCTAAATATTATATCAACGGTTAGATTTTTCAAAAAGAGTACGACGGAGTGTCAGAGAAAAGGAAATGATTTAGTGTGGGTGTGTTTTGAAAGTTTTTGTTTAAAGAAATAAATCTGAACAATTTATTTTCTTGTAGGCGACGTGGCTTTATCTCAACCCTTGGCCGGAGGAACTGCTGGAGAGAGGGGCTGGAGAGGATCCGGACTCGCAAAAGAGATCCAAGAATCAAAGGCATAAAGTTAGTGGCCCAAGAAAGGAGATTGAGGAGGTGTGACACATGGCAACTTCAAGAAAAAAGAAAGCTTGCAGATCATGGGCAAGTGTAGAAATCTAACAAATGGACACATGGCAACGTAGCAGGGCCAGTGAAGCCATATAAAAGCTGAGAATTCGAAGAAGAAAAGATCTTCAACCAAATTCACTACTCATGTGAAATCTAGGAGTAGTCTATCTTAACTTAGGAGTAGTTCATCTGTAATTCAAGTTTTGTACTTAGTTTGGCCCTATCGAGTGTAATCTTATTTGAACTTGTAATTTGATTCGTGTAATTAAATGACAAGTTTAAATGTTATTTAATTGAATTTCAATTTGTTTAGACTTATTTCTTCACATTATAACCTCCAAAAAAGTCCTTGAATCTGTCAAGGTATAGGACACTAACCACATTACTTGATTTATTTATTGTTTGTGAAAATTAGTTTTTCTGTCAAATTAACCCTGTCGATTTCATCCAAACCAAATTTTTGCTAACATCGTGACAATGTCAATACCTTATGCGGAGGGAAAAATATGAGCCCAGGCCCAAGCCTAGTCACGACAGCCCAAGCCAAAAAGTGATAAGCCTAAACGCATCCCTTGAAGTCCACAAATGACAGCTGGCAACAACTTGTCATTAGACCTAGGCGTGTGAGGGGACAAAGCAATCATAAAAAATAGCCTTCTAAAAGGCCAAATTTGCTAAGTAAAGGAGAGAAGTCAGATAAACTTTCATCCAACGATGGGAAGCATAGAACATATAAGACTAGGATGTAGGCTGGGCCTAATGAGAAGCAGAATCGTCTGATCAAGTTTACTTCTACGGACGAGATGCTCAGCAAGTTGGCCACTAACATCTTATATCATCTAAACCATCTATATATTAATGATCCAACAATCAAAGGGGAAGCATACTTGGCAAGTTGCCTGACCAAAACCAGGTTTGGCCAGAACCCTTCGATCAAAGCAAGATCCAACGGATGAGGTAAGAGCCATAATAGCTATAAAAAGAGTAAGCAAACAAGGCATAAGAGACAAGTAAGTGGGTTCTATCTAACTTGACCAAAACTCAATCAAATTTTATACAAGCAATATTTTTTTGTGCTATACACAATAGCCGATCACAGTGTTGACTTGATCGTCGAAAAGTCCTCTTGGCCAATTCTGATCGGGAGTGATTACTGACATGTGGTTTCTCTTCGCAGAGCATAAAGGATTGGACGTATCATCTCACTTTTCATATAGAGATAGTTTCACCTTCCACACCTTACCTATTAAAGTTCTTTCTTTTATCTAGCTATATTATGTATTATGTCCAAAGATAACATTGTACAACAGTTTATTGGCATATACCAATTTTAATTTTTTTTTCTTAATTTCATTTTGTGGACAAGAATTTTGGTGGTATTCATTACTGGAGATGATAATGGATCTGTAAAACTTATGTATTATTTAAGAGAATATTTTCTTTAATTTAAAAGTTACCTAAAAGTTAATTTCCATTGCATCTTATATGGATCTCATATAAATTTTATGTTACATAAATTAATTTCTATCGCACAGTTATCACTAAAAAAATTCTAATTGGATAAGTTGGATTCCCAAATTTTTCCTAAAGAAATCAGGACAAAAAGATTTCCTCGGCTAGGAGAAATTATTCAGGCACCGTTTGGGAAGGCTAATTAGCCAAGTGAGGACAAAAAGCTATTTTGGTGCTGGTTAACAATCAAGGGTAACGTAAATTTATGAAATTACCCCACATGAATTATGGGCAACGCCTCAGCACATGAAAAGTAAAAAAAAAAAAAAAATTTCTCAAAAAATTCCTTTTCCTAGGAAAAAACAAAGAAAGTTGAAAAAAAAAATTAAAAACATTTTCTTGTTTTTTGTTAAAATATTTTCTAAAAATAAATTCAAACTCTATTTATAAAAATATTTTTAAATATTTTAATTTTTTTGTTATGTATTTGGTTATGATTTGAGTGTAGAGTTGTGAAAGTAGTATGAAATTTCGAGTTATGTGTTTGGTTATGAGTTTTAAAAATAATTTATTAATTGAGTTTTATTTTATGTGTTTTGTTACAATTTGAGTGTAGAGTTGTTTTTAAATTAAAAATATTAACATTTTAAATTATTTAAATTTTTTGAATATTTAAATATGTAAAATAAAATTGAATAAAATGAAAATTAAATTATTTACAATACACAGGACAATTATTTAAGACCTCACTTTTTATCATTGTACAGAAAATGAAAAACAAAAATTAAAATAAAAATAAAAATAAAAAACACATGAAAAAACCATTTGCAAAAAAAAAAAAAAGACCTTAAAATACACAGGACAATTATTTAAAACTTCACTTTTTATCATTTTACAGAAAATTAAAAAAAAAACTAAAATCAACATAAAAAAAACACATGAAAAAACCCAGACCAAAAAAAAAAACAAAACAAAACCAAATTAATGTAATAAAAAAAACAAATATTAAAATGACCAAAAAAAACCAGTTGGGTCAACAATTCCATAGCACAGTCGCCGAAATAAAAATAAAATTTAAAAAAAAAAAAAAGGGAAAGTGAGTGGTGACGTCACAGTTAGACAAAATTAGTTACAGGGGCAATTTAGTAATATTACATATGGACACCTCACCAAAAAGTTAAAAAGTCAAAAAAGTCAAAAAATCTTTCCTAAACTAAACTTTTTAATCCCAAATTAAAATAATTAAAAAGTTAAAAAACAACCCATTTCTCAAACGGAGGCTCAATGTTCTAAAAAGTCCTCTAAAGGACAAAAAAGACAAAAGAAGATTCCCTCTCTAAAGGAAATTATTCAAAAGTAAAACCAATTATTTTTGTATTAAAATTTTAAAACACAACTGATTAGGTGTCAATTTATAAATGAAATAAGCATTGAACGATTTCTCCTTCTCCAATAACAAATATCAAAAACGAAAAAAAGAAAGAAAAACAAAACCTCAAAATAATTTTGGGAGCCATTAACAGATCTGCCTCCAAATTGGCAATTAAAAATAAATAGAAAAACAAAACAAAATTGACTCTCAAACATAGGGACGTTTTACCATCAGGGTTGGTGGCCTGGTGGAAGGACGCAGCATGTTCTTCAGTCGAGACTCAGGTTCAATTTTTGGGAGAGGGCTGTTTGTCATCTCTACGGAGAGCTTGCTCTTTACTCCTCTCGTTCTTGGGTTCTGCTGCGGCGTATGTCTGCCCTCCACTGGTGCCCTAGTGGTGGGGCC